CCGATGACCCATAAGCCAGTGCAGATGCTAGCTTGGCAAAACCAGTAAATGGGCCAGGCTAGGAAAGCTAGAGGAGTAGGAAGAAGAGGAATATACGTGTTGGCAAGGAAGTAAAAAACGTAGGCAACAATGAGATCATGAACAACATAGTAAGATGAACGGATGACAGATCGCTCGAAGCAATGAGCCGGGATTGCTTTCTTTAGATCACTTAACGTGAAGGGAGGATCGACGGGAACACGTTTGAGGATATCTTTGCCTTCAGATGAATCCAACATCCGACCACCTGCACCCATATTTCTGAACCTGCAAATACAAGAACACAAGGCTCGATCAAGGAAGAGAGACCTTGAAGAGAATGTATATAGATTTGTATTCTCTTCAGCTGGTGACTCTCTTTGTGCTACATATGCTCGATATTTATAGTTAGAAGTAGTCAAAGATGAAGGCTTTCCTACAAAAATGATTTGCAAACAATCACGTGATGATTGAGAATTTTTTATTCACTGGGACATCTTCAAATATGCATATATCTTTTATCTTGCAACTACTTAGTTTCTGGCTTTATCTGCAGATCACTTTGGACAGTGGAGTCGTTGTGGGAGCACACATCAGCACTAATTCTTGATAGCTTGGCTTATTCTCCGATTCTATTGTAGTCAAGTTTGATAGGCCACCATCTGAGAATGTATATGCATCGATCGATCCATATTTTAATTCACATAACTAAAACTAGAAATTAGTTGTCCATTGTTGAACTTTGAATCTATAAGATTAAATGTATTTGCCGTCTTTTGTCGCATTCGAATATAATCAACTATTTTTTTGACTGATAAAATTTAGAATCTTTAATTAAATACTTCGAAAGATTTATTCTATCTTGAAAAAGAGTCGTGCTTAATATTAATTTCTTTTATTACAAATGACTATCTTAATTAACGATGTTATTATCCATACGTTATCTTGTAATACTTGTGAATGGTTAAATTACTAACTTTATAGTAGAAGTTATGAAAAATGTTTCTTTTTAGGGCACGGTGATATGAGAATTTAGGATCGGTGATATGAAAACAAATGAACGCAATTTCTAATGATTTTATAGTTCAAATCATGACTACGTTAATTGTTACTTATAGATATTGATAAATAACTCTTAGGTGGCGTTTGTTTTTTAAGAGGTACTGAAGTCTGAAGTCTGATTTCACTTCTGATTTTTAAGAGGTGGTGCTGAAGTCTGAAAACTGACAAACGTCTGAAGTCTGAAGTCTGAAATCTGAATCAATAGTTTGCTTTTGTAACCAACAAAACATATGAATATGTATAATTTCTGATTTCACTTCTGTTTATGTTCCCAAGATTCCTTTAATTCTTCTTTCTCCTCTAGATCAAGTCTTCCATCCTCAATGTCCACGCTCATCCCACCACCGTCCACCACCACTCCTCTAAAAACCAATGCCCCAAATCCACCTCTAAAATCGAAGCAAATCTCCATCATGATGAAAACTACAGGGACAAAAATACCTTGATTCACGAGGATAAAGGTGCACAATTATTGGTTTGCACAAGAATGAAAACACACAGTGGCAAAAACCCACAAAGAAGAAAACCCTCTTGATTTGGGTCTGATTTGGGTCGATTTGAAGCCACCAGCGATGGAGGGTGAATTCAATCGATTGAGACGATAAGGAGCGTGGAGTCGATCGATTGAGAGGATGAAGTCGATCGAATGATGAAGTAGAAATCGGTTCTCTGGATAGTCTTCAGGATTAAGAGGAAAATAAGTTGTTAGGTTATCACTTAATTTTTAAGAGGAAAATAAGTGATAAGTAACTCTGAAAGAAAAAGAAAAACAAACGGTCTGAATTGTCTTATGTCTGACCGAATTAGACATAAGTAATAAAATAAGAGTTTTTTTCTAAAAAAACAAACACTACCTTAGCATGTTATCTTATTTCTTTTACGAGCACTAATATATCATATCTGATTTAAGGTAATATATCAAATCAAATAGTAGTTTCTAAAATCGTAAAAATACTTATACATTCGTGTCCACAAAAATTGCAACATTTTTATATTGAACGTAACACTTTTATAATAAAACTTTATGTTAAAATTAAGTGCTTATTGTTTTAAAAGTTATTATATATAATATTGGTGTTTTTTTTTACTAAACATATAATATTAAATATTAATTAATAATCAAGATTTGTTTTGTTACATATCTGAGTTTGGTTCGTCAAAATTCAATGAAATATCAAGCAATCAATTCCATTGACCAAAATTAATTCATAAGTTTGATTTACTTTGAATTTTTGTACGAATTCCTATTCCACTTATGGAGGAAGTTAAATTTCTTATAGGTTTTAGTAAGGAATTGGGATTCATTTTCATATCTTCTAAGAAAAACAATTATTCACTACAAAAATGGAGAGTATCAGCGAGGAAAAATACCCTCGTTGATCCGTTGCTAAAGGGGTCTTTCATCACTGATCCGTCAGTCAAAAGCTCGTAGGTAATGTTATCTGCAACAGATCAATGACAGAATTTAGCGACGGATTTGCGAGGAAACCTTTCAGCGACGGATCAGCAAGGGAACGGATTCAGCGACGGATCAACAAGGAAAACTTTCAGCGACGGATCAACGAGGGAACTTTTAGCGACAGATCAGCGAATGAAACTTTCAGCGGGATCAGCGAGGGAACTTTCAGCGATGGATCAACAAGAGACGGGGAGGGATTTTTAGCGACGGATTTTCTCTTGCTAATCCGTCGCTAATGTTTATTAATCTAAAATAAATAATTTATAATTATATAATTCATGTATTTATTTATACAAAACATGATCATAAAATAACAAACCAAAACTGTGAACAAATTAAAACTAATCAATTCATACGATTTAAAATATTATCAATTCATACAATCTAAAATATCAAATTCATACAATCTAACTACCGGGAGGTGAGGAGGGGAGAAACGTATCCTGACTGCCACATAAACACAGCAAAATGCTCCGATAAGGCGGCTTGTTCGGCTAATGCAACAGCTTGTCTGGCCTGTTCGGCCTCCAAATATGCCCTCTACTTCCGTTCGACCTCCATCTCGGCCAGATGGCGTTCCTCCCGCAGTCGCGCCTCCTCCTCTACTGTTGCCAACTTCTCTCTCAACTCCTCTACTTGTAAATATTCAATATTCGACAAAATAAGTAATTTGTTCGCAATGAAAGTAATAAGAAAGTAGATTACAATACAACCAACATACCTCCATTGTTGACTCGTATGATCTCCCGGTGCTACTGTTACATCTACCCGTCATAGCATAAGAGAGATCCTTAATCCATTTATCGGGTTTTTTTGAGTTTATTGGGCATTAATGAGCTTTATTCAGTTTTATTGGACCTTAATCCATTTTATTGGACTTTATTTGGTTTTATTAGGCTTTGTTTAGTTTTATTGGGTTTTAATCCATTTTATTAGACTTTATTCAGTTTATTAGGCTTTGTTCGGTTTAATGGGCCTTAATTGGCTTCATTCGGTTTTATTGGATCTTAATCCATTTTCTTAGACTTTATTTGGTTTTATTGGGCCTAATGGGTTTTATTCGTTTTTATTGGGCATAATGGGCTTTATTCATTTTTATTGTCCCTAATGGGTTTTATTTGGTTTTATGAATTAATTTTTGTAATACTCTAATAAATAACTGATAATTTAATAATCAATAATTAAAATTTAATAATTAATTAAATTTGTAGTTATTAATAAAAAAAATTAGCGAGAGAACTGATTTCTGGCATTTCTTATCAGCAAGGGATTAGCGAGAAAAATTGTTTTCGGCCAATTCCCTCGCTAATCAGCAAGGGAACAGAGAGGGAAATGGTTTTTGGCCTTTCCTTCGCTGATCAGCGAAGGAACTGGTTTTTGCCAGCGAGTGAACTGATTTTTTGGCTATTCCCTTGCTGATCATCGAGGGAACTGGTTTTTGGCCTTTCCCTCGCTGATCCCTCGCTGATCAGGAAGGGGTTTTTTCCGTCGCTGATTCTCGTTGTTGATACCTTATTTTCTAGTAGTGATTCTAACCCGTTTCATCCCACCACGACGGTCGTTGCCACTAACACCATCACCACCACCACGACTACAGATGTCAGTGCCAACGCCACCACAACAACAATCAGTGTATTTGTGCCACTAGCACCATTGTCACGGTCATTGCCAATACCACCACCACCTATGTCATTGCCACTGCTAGCATCGTCATCGCCATGACCGCCTATTACCACCTCGTCATCGTTGCCGCCACCGCCGCCAATTTAAAAGAAACAGGTGAGTAATGAAGTTCCTTATCAGTTCTCTCTGAAATATTCGTTTGGCTAATGACTTCAAACACATGGTAAGCTAAACAATAAATTGGGATTTGTGAAGACAAATGCTACAAACTTCTAGAACACAATATATAGGGTCCTCGTAAAGTTTATCATTATAAGTGCCACGGGGAATTTGATTTGGAAATCCAATAGTTTCGAGATCCGCCCCACAGTATAAGTGATTATACCCCTTATAAAAACAAAACCAACTCTTCAATCCCTTTCAAGCTCATGTCTGTCATGGTACTGCAAAATCTATTTCTTTTAAATATCCTACTGTAACCATATCATAGTTTCATTTGTAATACCTCAAAGAGCTAATGAAACTACTTTAGTAAATTTGAATTGTGTAATTAATTATTGAGCAATGGCACCAAAACTCACAATTCCTTTTGGATCTCCTGTTTGATCAAATGCAACAGCAACATTTTTCATCATGGGTGCGAACTTGGTGTACAGGAGACAGAAAGGTTCAAATAACACAAAATGCAAATGTGAACAAATCTAATACAAAAATTCAAAAACAATCGAAGCAGTGCATGTACATGTATAATCATAAATCCAACCACAAAAGCAAATAGGCAAGATCAGAATCACAGATACACAATGCCGCACAACAAGACTGATATAAATCTAGTTTAAGTAAGGGATGTTTACAATTGTCTTCGTGGTTTCATATCATTCTTTGTATGTGAAAATCAGACATGATGATAATACGTAGATGATATTAAGAAAGAAACCAATTCACATATACAATGTGCATGGTTCAATCAAGTACAACCCAAAAGCTATGGCTCATGATGATATTTTATTATAAATTATACATATAAGCAAATTAACCATACACTTGTCTTCTGCCATCCATCACAACTTATGGTACCAGTATACACCTTTATGCTGGCTATCTTCATCTGGCTCAATGAAGATGCATTCCTTGGCCTCCCTCCACATTGCTTTGAAAATTGGGGTCCTATCGATCTTATAATACTCACCCAGAACTGGCTTGATTGCATCCCTAGCCTCCTTTGCGTGATAATGTGGAATGTATGAGATCAAATGATGCAATACGTGAGTATGTGTAACATCATGAAAAACCCTATTCAGGAATCCGAAGTCTCTGTCGATTGTCGATAAGGCTCCTCTGATCCAGTTCCATTCAGTTGAATCATAATGAGGCAAAGAGAGATGGGTGTGATGCAGATAAGTGATCAAAACAAAGAAGACATGTACGCCTACCACAGGAACTCCATACATGCAAATTACCCAAGCAGCTCCTTTTGCAGCTACAAGAAGCTTAACTGCGTATAAAACGGCAAGGATACCAAGATCTGATAGCAGAACCTGAATTCGTTCACGTTCAGTGAAAATTGGACTCAATGGATCAAAGTGGTTGGCAAACCTTCCATATTTCTTGCCAGAAATATTAGTCAAGAGGTATAAAGGAAATCCTAGGGTCAACCTAAAAACCAAGG